TGGGTTGAAAGGGTTGAAAATTGGTCTTGATCTATAACCCAGCGGTGCTGACGTGAACGCTGACGTGAAACACATCACGTAAAGAGCATATATTGAAAAATACACGGACACGGTTTTTACCTCAGAAATAGTCTTAACGTCTCTTTTACTGAACGGAAGAGATACTTTTAATATAACGTCAGTGAGTGTCTTCTGTCATATTTACATAAGATTTTACAATATTTACACTTTGTGAGGTATTAACAGATTTACATGTTAATTCTTTATCATCTTTTTCGCGGTTAAACTGAATGTATGTTAGTTTCCTAAAGGAAACGGCGTTATGTATAGTCTAGCCTAATTATTTTGATGCTGATGAAGTGTTGATTGTTAAAAGTAATGTTTTGCATGTAATATTTCAGACTTGTTGAGCTTTGTCTTTTCATTGTGCCCGCGCCGGGAGTTAACGACACAGAAGCCAGCTTGTATGAGGAGGAGGCGATTTTCTCAGCTTCTTCAGAAGAGAGAGAAAGACGGTTAAGGCAAGAAATTTTTATTTAATTTAATTTTTATTGTTTATTTTATTTGCTTGCCAAAGCCCTTTAAATGAAGAACAATGTAGACAGCATGCAGTAATTCTATCAAGCTGTGGTCAGCAGGCAAAATGTTTTATTATTTATTTACTACAATGGTGTTTTTGATATATTCATTATTTATTAATTGATTCAATTAATATTTAAGTAAAAAAGGCGTAATAATGGAACAACAGTTTATTTTTCACTATTATTTACAACAGGATCTGCCTTTTAATGTGAACATCGAATGCTGGTGTGTTTTGGCGTTTATGTGATCAGTGTACAGTATAATTGTAATTACAGGTTTTATACTCATTTAGCTACAGGCACGCTAACAATAGTTAGGCCTATATGTTTGGTCACTGTGGTAAAACCATGGTAAGTCTTCGTAATATGCTTGTAGTTCTGGCGACAGATATTAGGCTACACAAGACGAAAGTAACAGTGCTATTAAGCGTGTATGAAGCTTTGTCTCTGTGGTCTTCTGATTATTAACCATTAATTCGGTTTACATGTCAAATGTGTATTTTGCTATTATTATTTAATTGCTTACACATGCTCATTATTATTTACAGACAGCATCTCAGCAGGGTCCCAGTTCTCCAGAGTTTCCCTCCACATCTACACTTCTTGAAGTTGGATGTCAGATAGACCCTACAGAGATTGCAACAGCGGCCACAGAGACATCACCAAATGTGTGATCAGTGGGCACACAAGTTTCTATTAGTACATTGCGGATTTCCACGTAAAGGGTAAAGGTATGAAATACAGAAAGTAAATGTGTAAGTATTAACTTGTCAAGTTCAGTGCTAGTACACATTGGTTTTTGATTTGAAGTTATATGTTGGTTATTGATAGTTTTGTCTATAAGGAAGTGGCTTATGGGTCTCCTGATATAAGTGTTTTTTAATAGCATGACTAACGCAAGTACTTAGTGTCTTGTCATGATGTTGGCTCTGAAACAACTGTCATGTTGCCGGATGTCTTCAACACCATTAAAGGGCTCAATCTTTAGGCCAAGCAAGCGACCTCGTCTTTTGTTAGAGGAGGAGGAAGACACAGAATCAGAATTAGATGTACTCCATCTGGACATGACTCCACATTTACCCCCGAGTCTGTGGTCACTGAGGAATCTCAATTGTCGTAAGTTATGAATACATATTGACAACTTTGTAGTAAAGAATACGAGTTGAAAGAAACGATGACATGAATGCAATTTCCTAATATTTATTATTTTTTGGTTAATTTAGGATAGATCCGCATCCACCTCCGAAAGCAATGACCGCATTCATTGTGTTTCGTCTGCTCGCTCTGAGGCGCAAGTAATTTATTATAAATGAAAATTATTATATTCTCCTACTTTTGTTAGTGATTTATAGTGCCAGTTTATCAGGAAGTAACGATTTTGTTCTCTTTGACATGTTGGATGTAAACTATGCTTGTTCGTAAATGTTTTATGCGATATTCCAGTTTTGCGCATAAGTTAAATTCGCAACATTGGATGGAAACCCGGCTACTGTGAGATAGCTTTCAGTAGCACGGGAGGTCCATCCATCTGTTGTTAATGCAACAGCAGGTGCAATGGACAACTCGTGTTCAATCACTGCTCTCGTGTGTGTGTGTGTATAGAGAAGGGACCACGGACTGGCTTATGTGCGCACGAGATGGGACAGTGTAACGTGGCTCGAGCACTTTTAATAAATACTTGAAGCCAGGATCCTCTACTACTACTACATATGGGCGCATTGCAGATGAAATGTATATGCCAATTGTATAAAATTATGATTTAAATAACTGAAATTATACGCTAAAAATGAAACTAAATCCGCCAGCAGGTGGTGACAAGTCACTGATTTTATCACTGAATCATTCATTCAATTGATTCGTTCGAACGGCTGATTCATTCAGGAATGAACCAAGTGGCTGTCTTTATGAATGGGTAATCATGAATCACTGACTCACTAGATTCGTTCAAAAACGCACTTTCATTGAATGAATGAAACTCAGCTGTGTTTGCTTTTAGAGATGCCAAGTGGCTGAGCTGTTACTATATTTGGA